TTTATTCTAATAAATTAAGATCATTTTTTTATACATCCCCAGAGGGTCGTCGTTTACAGGCCAATTTCTTCCAAGACAACAAAAATAGCTGCTACCTTTCCATCCTAATAATACAGTCTTACACAACAATCGTCAACGAGCAATTATCATCTTCAATTTTAAAAAATTGAGGAGCTCGATGTCTGCAATTATGCTTTGTTTCCCTTTCAAGGCGACAAACTCATTGAAACGCCAAGAATAATCCACAAAATCTTGCTTCAATAAGAAGTCTCAATGATCTGACCTGGATCTAAAAGGAGGAATCAGTACAAATGGGTGATGAATGGAAATGGAACGGGATCGGAACTACGCTAACCAGAAGAAAAACAAACTCAAATTTAATAGAAGAGTGTCACAAAATAGCACCGGAACCCTAAAAAGCAAATTTAAAGAGAAAACCCAATTCAATCAATAAAAGAAAGGGACAGAAATCGATCTCACCGGAGCAAACGAGGTGGTGGTATTGATGGTAAGAAGAGAAATCTCATCAACCTTAGGACGAAACACGGCCAGCTGCGCGCCCTTGTTGGCGAGAGATAGGCGACTGTCGCAGGGCGACAGCTGAGTACCATTGAAGAAAAAAGAATCACGATCTGAGAATGCCAGGCCAAACGTAAACCCATCCCATCGCTGGATCTTCGCGTCCTCGCAGGGCTGAAACACATGATTCTCGTCCCGTGCATCGGCCAAAATCAACACCAAGCACAGAGACAGGATCTCCACCGCTACAGCAAGAGTGTTGGCATTGCCCGACAGGAACATCGCCGGTGAATCGAGCTTCTTTCTCGCTCCGGCGAACTATCACAGTGTTGCGGGATATTGGGATTCTCGCTCCGGCCAACGATCTCGGCGGTGGAAGAATTGGATATCGGTCCTTGCAGCCCTATAGCTGTAAGTTGAATTTATCAAATTTTAAGGTGAATAAATTTAACTTAAAAGATAATTATTTGACATAATAATACTTGCATATTGATAAATTCTTGTAAATTATTTGAACGTACATAGTATGGGAAATAGGGTTGTAAACGAGGCAAAATTGAGCGGGCTCATACTTAGCTCGTGTTTGACTCGTTCAAAATTATTATTGTTGCTCGTTAATATTCGCACATAAAAAATATTTTGTGTTCGGCTCTTTTGCCAAACACCAGCTATTACTGAATAAAGTGTTGCTTTGACAACCCTGATAAAATAGTTGTAGCATGTTAAGAGTTCGAGCGAGATTTAAATCTTATTATTTATATTAAAAT